CGCTCTTTGCTTTTGTATTTCTGCAGCCGTGACTGCCTGCTGGGGTCCGCAGACAGAAAAACTTTGCTTCACTGACCACTTTATCGTCTCTTTCTGCGCAGTTTCGTTCTCATCTCAGAATTTCTGAGCACAGACAACCCATAATAGCTGGTATAGTACGAACCAGTACACCCTCATTCTGTATTGCACTGAGCCTCAACACAGCTACTAGGAAGGATAATTAAAAAGAGTATATTCTTTGGGAGGGATGAGAATTTGCCGTCCCATCCAGAACTCATCGGGAGAACATGGAACGTTTCTGCATTTTTATGCAAATCCCGATTAGGGTTATCTACTCATCGTTGCACTGCTATCTGCCTGGCCTTAAAGAACTACAGAGTGTAAGGGGTACATTAACAGCTCCCTGTTGTTCAGACAATGGCTGAACACAACAGTAGTTACAGCCAGAATGAAAGAAGTTCTTACCGCTTTTCAAAGGGACCGAGTGGAAAGCAAGCAGGAAGTATTAGCACCAAGGCAGTCTTTAAAAATTACAGAGGAAAAGCAGCTCAGTAAATAGGAACTCAAAAGAGCCTGCCTGCAGAAGGAAGCAACTTGGAGATTTTTAGGGCTAAACGTGCCCAACAACACGAAATTCAGGGAGAAACCTCCATGGCTTAAAGAGAAAAGACCAGGAACATGGATCTGAAAAACTACAAATCTGCTGGTGTGACAACAGGGTCAGGGTGTTTGTTAGTAACAGAGCCTTGTGCACGGTTTGTGCTAACAGAAGCAAAGAGCAATCATTTTAGAAATTATCTTTAAAGACTACGTATCTGTTATTTCAACTATGCAGGGGCAAACTAAAATGCACCCAAACTCTGGGAAAGGATAACCCTCAACTATTAAGAGCCTGCAGGAGAGCAGGTACAGGTGGGATATTTAGCACAGATAACAGGGATATTTCAGGGATTTTATTTTCTAAGAGAAAGAGTAGAACTTTGCAAAAGGGCTACCAGATAGGGAATGCTAAGGCTAAAAGAGAATCTTCTTTGCATTCCTATATTAAAAGGAATATTAAGAACACATGGAGTCACTGATGGGATCTTAACATAAATGGGATCTGAACCAGCTGAATACCAGTTAAAAAAATATTTAATGGCACAGTCCTATTTTTGACAGTAAGTGACACTTAGGAAACATTTAATTTTAAATTCAAGGCATTAGTGCTGGTTTATGCCATCATTATGCAGTGAGAGATTTTAAAATAGCTTATCTGAAATCCCAGGAGGGGAGGTGAAATGAGTTTTCCAAATTATTACCTGAAAAGCGTTCAAAATATTTGTACATTTTATAAGGAAGAAAAACACGTGGTGAAAATACATTGTTTGAAGGTTAAAACTAGGTAACACAACTGAGGAGTAGGTCTATGCCTCGGGAACCTTAGGGTGCCAGATATGATAAATAACAGTGCCTCTTATCTACTGCTAAAGGGTTTTGGTTTTTTTTTTGCTGGTTTTGCCACCATTTAATGAATTTATATGTTTTAGAAGAGCAAGTTCTCTATAAAGACTAATTTACTTTTTTTTTTTTTATATTTAGGTCAAGGTGTTTCAGCCTGCAACCATAGCACCCTGTCTTAGCTGTAAGCTAATACCTAAAGACAGGTTTACTCTGATTGCCTTAATTTTTACCATTACTGTTCTAAGGTAGTATATGATTGCTGTACATGATGAAAAAATGCTTGGGAGTCACTGTTTTCAACCTGTAACTGTTGAAGGTCAACTCAGAAATTTAGAACTGTCTGAATCCGGATACACTTTGTAAACAACAAGAGGAACATTTAACCATCTGTAATCAGAAAAATGTATAGTTAGCATTCTTAGAACAAGGACGTCCTGGAGCAATTAAGCCTAGAAAGGACAGCAAATCAAGATGTTTTTAAAACATTTGAAACTTGGCAAATAAGCTCAAGGTCCGCGTATCCTTAACTGAACTACCCTCCTTATAATACTAAAAATGACACCTTCAGGTCAACAGACCCTTGCCCAGGTGAAGACCCTTCCTCACAGAACACGCGTAGTACAAAAAAAGGACACTACAGCTTTAAGCGTATGCGAGGCTGGCAGGAACCAGGGAGAACCCAAAGGGATTGTGATTGCGAAATAACCGGTAACCGAGTGTATAAAACGCTGCTGTGTGTTAACCGAGGTGGGCTGGATTTGCGGGAAACCACCTAGTACCCAGGATTGCGCAAACCTGAGATAAATAAGCAACGTCTCTCCTGAGCGTGTGACAAATGACTTCTCCCACACCGGGCCAGGAATCCACTTTTCGGCCAGCAGAGCTGCAGCAGAGGACGTTCGTTCCCTTCCCTCCGGTCGCCTCACGCTAGCACTGATCCCGTGCACTACTCTACCGCAGGGAGAAGAGGCCACGAGCGAGGCAGCAAGCGAGCTAAGGCTCTAGAGGTCAGTCAGGCAAACCGGAGCCTGGCAAACAACC